CCCATCAAGTTAAACTTGTGGCACGAAAATCCAAAACGTCACTTATTTTGAGACTGAGGCCTTGTTCGGCTGACATGAAACGCGCAACTGTTTTCTGGCCATGGCTATAGTATTTTTTTTAGCCACTGGAACGGCCCCTGAGCGTCTATGGCAGGAGGCAGGAGACCCACTTTCTGTCCCTGCACCCTGCCGTAGTAGCCGGCCGTAGCACACATGCATGCTGCGTGCATGGAGGTGGCGGACTGGCGGTGGCCGCCTGCCCGGAGCCGTGCACTGTGCGGCTGCGCCGGGGCAGTTCCTGCTGCTGCAGCGGCGCTGCTGGTGCCTGGTAGGAGTGGATGGATCGGAAAAGAACACGACCTTTCATCGCTCTATCCTGCGCAGAGGCAGGCAGGGCACGGCTACCAAGGCAGATCTGTTGGAAGCAACGGAGACTGGACAATGGAGGAGGGGGGAGCCAGGAAGGAGAAAGGAAAAAGTCTACAGGAGCTACAGCAGGCAGCGCCATCCCCTGCTTCGTCAAACTGTGCAGACGCCCGTGTGCTCGCCAGAATGGCAGCAACTGATCGAGAGCATCCTGCTACGTCTTCCCTTCCCTTCCCTTCCCTTGTTCTTGCTAAGCAGCAGTTTCAGAAATACAGGAATACAGTAGAATAGAAATGCATACTATCACGGCCCGAGCATCCTGCTGTTTCCCTTCCTTGTTCTTGCTAAGCAGCATCATAAATACAGAATACAGTAGAATATGCATACTATCAGGTTGGTTTGGTGTGAACGAGTATCTGAATTATTACTTCATTACTTGGTTTGGTGTGAAAAAAATTATTCCTATCGTTTATGATCGTTATACAAAAGTCGAACAGGCCGTATAAAGGAATGAAAAATACAGCAATTTACGGAGATACAGGAAAATGAGAAAGCAAAGGACATGAGGTTTGAGTGGATTTTTTCCCCCTACGATCCAAAAGGCCTGAATGTGAACGTTGAAATCCAAATCAAATATGTGGCTGTGAGGTGGGCTAGATGGATCGTGGATGCATCACCACATGTGCCGCACCACAGCAAGAGACGAGACGTTACTTTGACTCTAGTGATACTACTGCAGTACGAACGGATCAACGGAGCAGTAACCGCAGCAGTACATGCATGAAGATATGCCGCCAGACCTGTGCGTGGTCACGTTTGAGAGAGGCCGAGCAGGGTAGTGGACTGTCAGGAAGTGGGACCAGCAGGGACCAGTCACGGATCAACGGAGCAGTAACCGCAACAGTACATGCATGCAGATATGCAGCCAGACCTGTGCGTGGTCACGTTTGAGAGAGGCCGAGCAGGGTAGTGGACTGTCAGGAAGTGGGACCAGCAGGGACCAGTCACGAGGCACGAGCCATTTTTTTTCTCTCATCTAAACTAGTCATCACACGCGACACAAGAGGAAGCCATGCAGAGAAAGAGATGCGGTAGCGACAGCACAAAGGCCATTGGAAATTTCCTTCTGATGATCTGATCCTTTCTGGAAAAGAAAAGAACGGAAATTTGCTGCCAATTCTGGGAATTCACATCCTCCTTTGGCACAGCCAGACGCCCAGACATTATGGTGTGACCTCAACCTGTTCCTGCTCCTGCATCTAGTTTTAGGACTTTCTTAGTGTAGAGGAGTACTCCATCCGTCAATTTTTTTTTTTTGCAAATATGGGATCCATGCCGGTCTATGGTAAATATTATTGACATTTATGTCTCCAAATAAATTTATTATGAAAATATATTTTATAACTAATATAATGATATTAGTTTTGTATTATGAATATTAATACTTTTTTATATAACTTTAGTCAAAGTACAAACCGTTTGATTTCTTGAAAAGCGAAAATTGTATTCTTTTGTGGACGGAGTGAGGATATAAGAAATCGGATCATTTCACGGACAAAACATAGGGAATTTTTTTTCCACGCTTGTAGTATCACTAGTAGATGGCGGGCGCCCTTTCCAGATTGCTTCATGGTGGTGACAATAGCATGTAATGGTGGCAAGCATGATAGTCTTGATAGATTCAAGTACAATGCAGGAAGCATAACTTTGATACGTCTTCTACCTGCATGCCCAGTTGGAATTGCTGCTGGATTGCATCTCTGATACTTTGATGGCCGATTGCATCGGTGGCTGACAGTGGAAGACTTGCTATCACTGCATTGTCAAAGACATTTGAGTTCTTGCTGTGGAGGTCTGTCTCGTTGATTATTGTCAGGTTTGGGTAATGGTGATTAGGCATCCTGTCGGTTGTGGCCTGTATATTTTTCAATTGAAGTTAAGGATTAATTTCAGCCACAGGTAAGGTGATGTATAAAAAAAATCATGTCAATATACAGAATCTAGTTGTGACCATAGAATTAAGAACGGAATCATTCATCAGTGTACTATTCTTACATTTAGTACCCTTTTTTGTGTAAAAGGAATCATGACTATATTAACAACAGTTTATAAAAGCTGTGAATCAGCACTGGCATATTGCTAGCTACTTTCGTTGGTTTAAATGGCACTGTCACATGTCAACACTAAGCATTACTAATTGTTTGCATGGATATGTCACTTTGTTTTTGTTTTCGTGATTCCTGAGACCGAAAGGATCAATGGTCCAAAAATTGAGCTGCCATTCAATGGATTGGCAAGCGGTGGGAGGGACTAGGAGTATTTTTCAGCTGGCTTATCAACTATAATCTACAGTATTTTTCTCTCACAACAAATCAACTTTAGCTGGCTTATCAACCAGCTTTAATACCAGCCGAATAGGCCTTATAGAGTTTTGCCGGATCTCACCTGCTGCTGTTGTGGATGGGCTGGTGGCTGTGCTGTTAATTGAGTGGACTGTGAGTGAGAGGCAAAATTAATAGGCAAAGTTTAAAAAGGGTTTGGCATGATCAGTACTGCCGTCCACGGTAGACCATGCGAGAGGATTGCCAGTGGGCTATGGCCATCATATGAAACAAGAAACCAAATCACAAACAAGGTATAGTAAGCAAGAGAGATACATTTAAAATGGAGGTTCATTTGAGTAAAAATAATATGACAAGAGCACACTGCCTCGTAATTATTTGTTTTAGTCCTCTCAAAATCACCGAGAAGGCAATCTTCCCAAGTATCATCCTCTCCAGTAAAAAGAGCATGACAATCCGGCAAAAAGATTTGTTAGCCTGACTCCAAAATTATGAATGTTCACTTTGTGAGGAAACTTTGTGCACTTCGAAACTATACTGGAACTCCATTCTGAGCATCTGCCCAAGCGTGATGAAATGCTCGTCACTCAAGAAGAGTTGACTTCTCAATTTGTCACTGTTTGGCTTATTATTCTTACAAATTTGAAGCACACATTTTGAGCTGGCTTGCAATTATTGTAAATCCATTAGTGGGGATTCAGTTTATACAAGAGGGAAAAGGAAGATCGGCTTGTTATGAGTATAGAGTGCACATATAAGAAGCAACCCAACATTTTCCAGCAATGTTATAGTGAATTACTTCGCTCACAGAAGTAAAGATGGATGCTAAAATCAAATAGGTAAAATGATTTTAAAACATGTATTGCCGTAGCAAATGTTTAAGTATAACATCTATGCTGGTCAAAATGGGACGAAGGTAAATGTGAGGCAGCAACATGGTTGCCTTACAAAATAAAACCTTTTTTTAGAATTAGCTCGAAGAAATTAGGTCTTATCTGGAACCTCAACAAAGAGCACTCGCCTCTCAAACTGGAACAAATTCACACAAAAAACTACATAAATGTCTACAGGAGAACATTCAGGCACAAATTTGAAAGGACGAAAACTAAGCATTGACCTATCCAAAATTTCTTAACTTGTTTAAAACATTAGTCTGAAACATGAAAATCTTATACTGAGGAACATACATGAATAAATTAAAATGGTTTGTACAGGCCTGGGTATTCACCAATGCAGCACTTGGGGAACATTGTGAGTGATTGAAGAGAGGTGGCCTTCTGGAAATAGATTTGCATCACTTGTACCAGGAATGTAGGAAAAATCTCACAAAAATTTGGTAACTGCACCAACAATTTGGGGCTCCCGCCACCAAAACATCCCGTAAAAGAAGGCCAAGAGAGAGGGAGGAGATGGGAGGTTACCTCGTCGCCCACGCAGTCGCCGGAGGGACAACAACCTGCCAGTCGCCGCTGCTGTCGCTGGCGAGCGCGTCCACACTGGAGAAGGGCACCGCCGCCGGAGGTTGGGTCGAAGCTGGGCCGCCGCGACCCCTAGCACCTGCAGCACATGAACACACACGGAGCAGAGGGAGGAGGCAGCGCCGGGGGCAAGCGACGCCGGCGGCCACCGCCGGGGCCCAGTCGCGAGGGAGAAAGGAGGAGGAGGAGGGCGCCCGTAGCCGCCGCGCCCGCATGTGCCAGCCGTCGTTGCCCTACGGGCTATCTAGGGGAGAAATTGAGCAAAGTCGCCTCCCAAAATGGCGCCAATGACTAATGCCTGTGCTGGAGGGTTTAATGGTGCATGGAACAAAGGAAGCTACTAGCCCGGCCCCTAGTCCGGGCCGTCCGGCTCGTCGCCCGCGTCTCTGGCCCTGGAACCACTGCAAGTCTGCAAGCAAGCTGAGAGCAAATTGATGGCCCCCGTCATGTCCCCTCCGACCCCGTCGCCCGTCCCGTCGCATCCCCCAACACTACACAACGCCGTCTCCTTCTCTCTCCCTCTGCTGCGCCTACGCCTATCTGACACCGCACGCCGTCAGCCTGCCGTGCGCCGAGGCCGATCCATCATCCAACACCACCCCTCCTCCTCTCCTCTCCTCCCGCCCTGCTGCTTTCCTTTGACCTGCCTATCATCAGCTCGCCCGCCCGTCCCCGCTGCCGCGGATTCCATTCCATATGCTCATTCCCTCCACCACCACCACCGTCCCCTCCCTCCGCTCCCTTTTATTCCATCCACCACCACCACGTCCCCCTCGCCACCACTCCGCGCCCGTCCACAGCAGCCACAGCCACAATGCCTCCTCCCATCCTCCTCTGCTTCCTCCTCCTCCTCACCGCCGCCCCCGCCTCCGCCACGCCGGAGCGGGACGCGTACACGCTGTCGAGGCTGAAGGCGTCCCTCGTCCCGTCCACCTCCACCAACTCCACCTCCGCCGCCGCCGCGCTGTCCGACTGGGACCCGGCCGCGACCCCGCCGGCGCACTGCGCCTTCACGGGCGTGACCTGCGACGCCGCCACGTCGCGCGTCGTCGCGATCAACCTCACGGCCGTGCCGCTCCACAGCGGCGCGCTCCCGCCCGAGGTCGCGCTGCTCGACGCGCTCGCCAGCCTCACCGTCGCCGCCTGCTCCCTCCACGGCCGCGTCCCGCCGGCGCTCGCGTCCATGCCCGCGCTCCGCCACCTCAACCTCTCCAACAACAACCTCAGCGGCCCCTTCCCGTCTCCGCCCTCCGCCTCGACCTCCCTACCGTACTTCCCGGCGCTTGAGCTCGTCGACGTCTACAACAACAACCTGTCCGGCCCGCTCCCGCCGCTGGGCGCGCCGCACGCGCGCACCCTCCGCTACCTCCACCTCGGCGGGAACTACTTCAACGGCGCCATCCCGGACACCTTCGGCGACCTCGCCGCGCTCGAGTACCTGGGGCTCAACGGCAACGCGCTGTCGGGCCGGGTCCCACCGTCGCTGTCCCGCCTCACCCGCCTCCGGGAGATGTACGTCGGCCACTACAACCAGTACAGCGGTGGGGTGCCACCGGAGTTCAGCGCGCTCCAGTCGCTCGTCCGCCTCGACATGAGCAGCTGCACGCTCAGGGGGCCCATCCCGCCGGAGCTCGCGCGCCTGTCCCGCCTCGACACGCTCTTCCTCGCCATGAACCAGCTCACGGGGGTGATACCGCCGGAGCTCGGCGCGCTCAACAGCCTCCAGTCGCTCGACCTCTCCATCAACGACCTGAGCGGCGAGATACCCGCCAGCTTCGCCGGCCTCACTAACCTCACGCTGTTCAACCTCTTCCGTAACCACCTCCACGGCGAGATACCGGACTTCGTCGGCGAGTTCCCGTTCCTCGAGGTGCTGCAGGTGTGGGACAACAACCTCACCGGCAGCCTCCCGCCCGCGCTCGGCAGGAACGGACGACTCAAGACGTTGGACGTCACCGGGAACCACCTCACGGGAACCATACCGCCGGACCTCTGCGCCGGACAGAACCTGCAGCTGCTCGTGCTCATGGACAATGCCTTCTTCGGCAGCATTCCGGACTCGCTCGGCGACTGCAAGACGCTCACGCGCGTCCGCCTCGGCAAGAACTTGCTGACCGGCCCTGTCCCGCCCGGGCTCTTCGACCTTCCCCAAGCGAACATGCTCGAGCTAACCGACAACATGCTCACCGGCGAGCTGCCTGACGTGATCGCCGGCGACAAGATCGGCATGCTCATGCTGGGGAACAATGGGATTGGCGGCCGCATCCCCGCCGCCATCGGCAACCTCCCCGCGCTGCAGACGCTGTCCCTGGAGTCGAACAACTTGGGGCCCCTACCGCCGGAGATCGGCAGGCTGCGGAACCTCACCAGGCTCAACGCCAGCGGCAACGCGCTCACGGGCGGCATCCCGAGGGAGCTCATGGGCTGCGGCTCCCTCGGCGCCATCGACCTCAGCCGGAACGACCTCACCGGCGAGATACCGGACACCGTTACGTCGCTCAAGATCCTGTGCACGCTCAACGTGTCGAGGAACAGGTTATCCGGCGAGCTGCCGCCGGCGATGTCCAACATGACGAGCCTCACGACGCTGGACGTGTCCTACAACCAGCTGTGGGGCCCCGTGCCGATGCAGGGCCAGTTCCTGGTGTTCAACGAGAGCTCGTTCGTCGGCAACCCGGGGCTGTGCGGCGCGCCCTTCGCCGGCGGCCCGTGCTCGCCATCGGCCGGCGGCGCGCGTTCGCCGTTCTCGCTGCGTCGGTGGAACACGAAAAAGCTGCTGGTATGGCTGGTCGTGCTCCTCACCCTCCTGATCCTGGCGGTCCTGGGCGCGCGGAAGGCGAGCGAGGCGTGGCGTGAGGCGGCGCGTCGCCGTTCGGGGCCTGGAAGATGACGGCGTTCCAGAAGCTGGACTTCTCGGCAGACGACGTGGTGGAGTGCCTGAAGGAGGACAACATCATCGGCAAGGGCGGCGCCGGGATCGTGTACCACGGCGTGACCCGCGGCGGCGCCGAGCTGGCCATCAAGCGGCTCGTGGGGCGAGGTTGCGGCGACCACGACCGCGGGTTCACGGCGGAGGTCACCACGCTGGGCCGCATCCGGCACCGCAACATCGTGCGCCTGCTCGGGTTCGTCTCCAACCGGGAGACCAACCTTCTGCTGTACGAGTACATGCCCAACGGCTCCCTCGGCGAGATGCTGCACGGCGGCAAGGGCGGCCACCTCGGGTGGGAGGCGCGGGCGGGCGTCGCGGTCGAGGCGGCGCGCGGCCTCTGCTACCTGCACCACGACTGCGCGCCCAGGATCATCCACCGCGACGTCAAGTCCAACAACATCCTCCTCGACTCCGCCTTCGAGGCGCACGTCGCTGACTTCGGCCTCGCCAAGTTCCTCGGCGGCGCGGCCGGCGGCGCCACGTCCGAGTGCATGTCTGCCATCGCCGGCTCCTACGGCTACATCGCCCCAGGTAACAAAACTCAATCACTGTTGCAATGCATGGCTGTACTAGTGTAGTAACACCACTGCAGATAGATAGAGCCAGTGGCTAATCAATGTGGTTAGTGTCTTGCTCTAGGTCTCTGCTGCATGGATTTGGCATGTCCTAGAAGCAGATCTTGTTGTTAGCTGTGGAGGTCAATGGGGGACAAAAAGCCTGCCTTGGGATTGGGCTTTCTGGTTTTAGTGCTCGTGCTGTTGGTTTGTTTGTGTATCCTTGTGGGCCCTTTCATGCAGCTAGCTTGATCCGACAGGGTTTAAGAGCTTCCCTTCCATGTCCATGGCTCCTTGCCTGGAGCAGATCTGCCCACATGTTTGACTTGTCAGGTCCCTCATAAACTTGTCGGCTTCACTCTTCAGTACTCTGCCGGTCTAGTGCACTCTGTGCCCGGTTTCTAAAAAAATGCAGATTATTCTGTCTAACATTTATAAATAAAAATAAAACTAATTACACAGTTCTGTTTACAAATCTTTTAAGTCTAATTAGACTATGATTGACACTAATTGCTAAATAACAACGAAATTGCTACAGTACCATTTCCTCAAAAAATTTCGCCAACTAAACAAGGGCTACCTAAATCTGTCAAAATATTAACAATATTATTAGAATAGTTATGAAATGTATTTTTATAATATATCTATTTGATATCGTAGTATTGCTAATATTTTGTATAAACTTGGTTAAGCTTAAATAAGTTTAATCTAATTCAAATTTAAAACTGCTGCTTTTTTGGGGGCTGGGGTCATCACTATAGCACTGTAGTACTGTATGCTGACGTACATGTGCATGCATGTGCAAGGACTTCTCGCTTCTGATCTCAGGCACAGTAAACCCTGATCATCAGCTATTCACATTCCACACACTGCTCACAAGAAAACTGTAATTACTTTAAACTGATGTTTACAAGCCTTGTGATCCGTCTGTCTCTCAGAGTACGCGTACACCCTGCGCGTGGACGAGAAGAGCGACGTGTACAGCTTCGGCGTGGTGCTGCTGGAGCTCATCACGGGTCGCCGCCCCGTCGGCAGCTTCGGCGACGGCGTGGACATCGTGCACTGGGTGCGCAAGGTGACCGCAGAGCTCCCGGACACAGCCGAGCCCGTCCTGGCGGTGGCCGACAGGCGCCTGGCGCCGGAGCCGGTGCCGCTGCTGGCGGACCTCTACAAGGTGGCCATGGCGTGCGTGGAGGAGGCCAGCACGGCCCGGCCCACCATGCGCGAGGTCGTCCACATGCTCTCCACCTCCGCCGCGGCCCAGCCCGACATCCTCCACGCCTTCTGAAAGCTCAACTCAACTCTCCCGGCTATCAGGCTATGGATGATTAACGGTGTAGTGTATGTACGATCCGGGGTTAACGCCTGCGATTTATTAGCGGCTAATTTTGTTTGTTTTTTTTACTGGTGCCTTTTGGCGTCGCTTATCTCGTGTGTGATGGATGGATGTGTGTGTGTACTGCGACTAATAACCAGCAGGTGGCTACTCGTGATCCTGGAAGGTGAAAGTAGCGTTCGTATTGCGATGCGATTGGGCCATTGTGTAGCTGAATGAATATGTGCATATTAGTAAAGTTGAAGCTGAAATGTCACCATGCAAGAACCATGATATTACATACATATGCTCTGCATTGCAATTCTTTGTCATCTTCACCCCATTTTTTTTCTTTCTCTCTCGCTCTCTCGTTTTATTTACACCACACGTGAAGCCATGGAATGGAATCGGTAAAGGCGTAGGAATGGAGATTTTTACTAGTGCAAGAATTTACCGTATCCGTCCGTGTCAGTGGATGATTGCAGGCCGTCCCTGCGGAATCGAATCTGGCTGGGCTCGCATTCTCGCAAAGAACGGGACCTCTCTCGACTTTCTCCCGTCTTTATTCTCCGCTGGATTATCTGATCTGACTCGGACTTGTAGATATATATCTCCTCTTCTGGTTTGCTGTTGCTCATTGCCCATGCAAATGCAACTGTGATGGCATATATTCCCTGGCGTTGTTGCTTTTGGTTATTCGAGATGGCCTCTTGTGAAAGATAAGATATATATCTTCTTCTTCTGTTTTTGGCGACAGGTGTCTGCTTCTAGTATAGGCTTTTACAAGGGAAAAAGGTTGCCATGTTGCGAAAGATGAAAATGGCAGATGCAATGTGAAAAGGTTTGAATCAGAATGTTGTCGTGGGACACGGAATGGGTTGGGCTGGTCATCTCGGCCCATTTGCTAGGCATGGCTGTCGTCGACATTTTTCTGGGCCCTAGTCCACCAGCCTGCATCTACATTAACCTCGGTAGTAATAAATAAAATAAATTTTGCTCAAATAAATAAATAAAATAAATACTCCTTTTTTATTTTTTTTGCCAGACAAATACTCCTTTTTTAGGCTATAGAAGATGGTGCTTGGATTCCAACGGATTATAGTAACCAGCTAAAATAATATGAATGTGATCCAAACATCTTGAATTATTAAGGGTTGGGTTATACTAATCCAATAACAGAAGTGTTGTAATTCTATAATCCATTTTAGACCTGCTTTTTTTTAGAATATAAGCATCGTTTGTACTCTAACTAACAAGAATCCACCTCTATAACTTGAGGATCCAAACGGTCTAGATTTTTATATTATTATAATAACTCTTACGTAATCCAGACAATTAAGATCCAAACATGCCCAAAATAAGCATTGGATTGAGAGACTCACTGCCCACTGATCACAATCAGGAATGAGGGCACAATATTCTCATCTCTCCTAGACGCAAAAGCACCCGACATTAGAATCCAAAACCTGAATAAATGGAAGAAATTAAGCCAAACTAAATTACACAAAGAGCAGAGACAAAAGCACTGACGATGATCCAGTCAACCCGTGTCGACCTTGGAGTGAACCAGCTTGCAGCTAGTGGTGATGCCCTCCCCCAATGGTGGTGATGAGATGATGAATGAGGATTGAGGAGGCACAAGGCGCTATTTGAGTTGACGCGAAGGGCGTTGAGTGTCGTTGCCGCAATCGTGGTCGCAAGCATATGCCAACGGGAGATGCTTCTGTTTTTCCTCTAGTATCCCTTGTATGCTTGGACCCTAGGTAATCATCCCTTAAGCTTAGCCCCAGAGTTGATCCAGATGCAAAGAATCTATGTACACCATGATTCAGAGCTCTATTGCATGGAGTCAATGGACATTGGGTGTTTGGGGGTGGTGTAGGGGGGTTCCTGCCCCCGTATGCATGAGCCCCTTCAGAAAAAGATAGAAGAGATGCTGAGAAGGAGAAATCAGTTCTCCTAAAGACTAAGCCTCACGTCGCTCATCTACTCCTCTATACTCTACTAATGCACCATCATAAACATTGCTAAGTCCACACCATATAACCTCTCCCACTGAGATGACCCTCCTCCACTCACCCCCAAAAAAATATACCCAGAAAAACAATCTATATACTTACTCTACTAATGCACCATCATAAACATTGCTAAATCCACACCATATAACCTCTCCCACTGAGATATCCCTCCTCCACTCACTCCAAAAAAAAAAAATACCCAAAAAACAACCACCTATAAATTAACCATTCAGATTGCTTCTTAGTCTTCTCTCCTTACCCAAATCCGCCAATCAGGATCACGTGTATTGTCCTTCTCAGCCCGCTGCCATCTGCCTCGCGCAAGGAAAGACATCCGCGCGAGTCCCCGCCCCGTGCCGCGATCGCGCACCCGCTCGCCACTGGCGCCGCGATTGACGCGCGCGTGCCGAGCGCCATCGCCCTTCCATCCATGTAGAGCCGCCGCAGCGCCGGGTCGCAGAGGAAGGAGTAGTAGGCCAGCGGGTAGAAGGAGGTGACGATCAGCGCGGCGATGCCGGCGTAGTCCAGCCGGAGCGTCACGTACGCCGTGCGCTCCGAGTGGCACAGGATCAGGTGGCAGACGCTGCTCGTCAGCAGGCACACCATCGCGCCGCCCAGGTACGCGAACAACGGCCACCGCGTGATGGGGTCGGCCGCAGTGCCGGCGTCCATCGTGGCCGCCGTACCGGTGCTGCCCTGCATGCAAGCACAGACATCACATACAGATCATCAGATGCAGTTCTTGTCGGATTTTTTTTTTATTTACTGCAGTAACGTCACCGTTGTCCGGCAGCCGGAGCGTGCCATCCCTGCCTCACTCCATGTCTGTCCACGAGTCCGGCCTGAAGGAGGTCTGAACGCAAGGAAGCTCGGGGACAGGACGCAGGTGTTAAACCATGTACTTTCTCTTGTGAAGCATTACCTGCAAATCAGATTGATATGGAACCATGGCTGTGTCTTGTATTCTTTTGATTGGGTACTCACATCACACGCATACACAAGCATGCGCATCCGTACAAACAAAAAAAAAGATTGGGAGGCGTCGCTTCCATTGCGTGGGAAACGCAGCAGTACCACCGAATGCCATTCACGCTATGTCTTGTATTCACTATCACTGGCAAAACTGAATTTGGTCATCCTCTGACGTTTCTCTTGTTTGGTCTACAGACTGAGAATGTTTCCAATCATTATATGAGAAATATGAGAATGATTCTACCAAATATGTTATCTTCAGAGCTCCCTTTTTTTTTGTAGTTGACGTGAGAAATGGAGTATTGGAATATGGATCTTCCGACTTTATGTTTCGCTTCTCTGGTGAATTTTCTAATTTTCTTTATGTTTGTGTCAGTACATATAAAGTGCAAAAGCTGACTGCCCATCCAAAATACGTGTTGTCTAAGATGACATTCTTATGGTAGTTATAGTTAGCTTAGTGAACGTGAACACATCTCATTTTTTAATGATCTGATGGCCAATTCATGCACAACAGACCAATGTTTTATGGACCCATCAATATAACCACTCTACAATTCCTCTTCAGCTTGGATCTTATATCTATCTCATCATATAGAAGACGACCAAAACAAATATTCTATATTGCCTTGTTTTTTAAATTTACATGTCTGAAATATCGCCGTAGCGTTAGCACATGCAATATACTAGTTAGATTAAGTCATGCACATGACTCTAGACCCAACAAATGACAACATTATGGTTTTAAGTGTTTGTAGTAGGTAATAAATGATTATCGACAATCTTTTGTGTTGGATGGATGCCAGCGATTGTAACGTTTATATGTTATAAACGATAATATGATCATAGAGATCGGGGTATGTGCATGGGTTCATATGAGTTGGTGTGCATACACATATGATTGTTTGCTTCATTAAAAAAAATAAGGTAAAATTTGCTTGTTTGCTTGCTTATTAAACATGCTGTCGGTTTGATTACCTAGCCTGACGTATCAGGTAAGAAATTTTGTGGCAAAGATGGTCATTTATCATTGAGTAATGGAAGTGGTACGTTAGGACTCTTCCCCACACGGGGCTTGCCCAGTTGCCCTAGTCCAATCCATGGAGCAAGGAACACTGTCCTTGGCCTCCAAGTTGGCAAGCTGCTTCCTTAATCATGGAGGAGGGAATTGTGTTCCAAGATATAATAAGGGATAAAAAACCCATCAAGGGTCTGTTTGGAACGAATGAATGCAAAACAGAGGAACGGAAGAAAACGGAGGAAAAAGATATGAATAAAGTGGCAAAACATAGGAACGGAAAAACATAGAAAAATATAAGAAGATGTGTTTGGAACGTAGGAATAAAAAACACGGTAATGAGAATAAATTAGAACTAATTTGGTAGTTGTATGTGGGCCCTCTTCAATCAGTCTTTGTCAAAGTGCCAAGCAAAGCCAATTAGCATCCAACGTTGCTGGCTGCCTTTGGACTTCCGCGGCGGAGACAAAACCAGAGATAGCAGTGGATTTTTGTTTTCCTGTGAAATGAGCATCTGGCTACAAAGTTCTAGAGGAAAGGGTTGAGTGAATCTCTTGTTCCGAACAACAAATTTGTTGCCGTTCCATAGGAATGTGAATTCCTACGTTTTTCGTTTGATTTTCCCGTGATCCAAACAGCCCCAAAGAGGAAAAGGATAAACGGACCGCCGTGACCGTCGCCAACCAGAGCCACTCACTTGCCGACTGCAATCGGTGGCCCACCCGTCAGCCAGAGAGAAACAGTCCACTGCGGTTGGATTGATTCCCTCAGCTGTGTTCGGCTCGTGTAGTATATAATAATTTTTGGATTGTTTTAAATAATTAAATAGTATTTTATAAAGAGAATAAGCTGAAACAAGCGAGTGGGGCAGTCGTGCCGTGCCCGTGCGCACACGCTTCTAAACTCTCACCAATGTTACCCGCCACCACTCACGGACAGGTAGGACTCCGGCCAGGCCGGTACCCAACTACAGCCCAGAGGGTCCCACAGGTCATGGACAGCGGAGCGCCCGCCAGTCTCCACCCAATAAAACCAGCTAACCACCTCAACCACGAAACCGGGCCCCACAGTCCTCAAGCGCGTGGACCCCACCCGCCTCCCCGTCGCCACGTACGCTGTCGGAGCGCCCTATACAAGCGCCACGTCGCCGGCCGGCCGTCGCCGCGTCCCCCACGGCTCTTTCCTCCTCCGGCGAGCCATAAATCCCTCCCGCCGACGCCATCCCCATGGCATCCCGCTCCCGCGGCTCCCCTTCCTCCTCCTCCCCGTCGTCGAAGGCTAACCCTTGGCCCGCCCCCTCCGCCCCGCCACTGTACCCGACGCTCTCCATGGCCGATCTCGCGCCCGTCGAGATAGGGTCCGCCGCCTCGTCGCCGACGGCGTCGGGATCGCCCTCGGAGCACGACAACGCGCCGCCGCCGTCGAAGGACGTCCTCCTCCGTGTCCCCGGCGCGCAGCTCCACCTCATCGACCGCAGCCGCAGCCACCCGCTGGCCGCCGGCGACCTCTCCCTCCTCCGCATCCGCTCCGGCGACACCTCCCTCGCCGCCATCGCGCTGCTCGACCCGGTCCAGTGGCCGCTTGCGCGCGACGTGGCCGCCGTCAAGCTCGACCCCTGCCACTACGCCTTCTCCCTCACCGTGCCGGCATCCGCCGACGACCCCAGCCCCGACCCGCTCCACTACGGGCTCACGCTGGCCCACCCCGACGCGCGCCTCGACGGCGTCCTCGCCGCCTACACCAGCTTCTCCGTCCACTCCGTGGTCGGCACCAAGGAGCTGGAGGGCAGGGTGCGCGACGAGGTCGAGGCCGCCGCGTACTGGACGGCCGTCGCGCCCAATGTGGAGGCGTACGGCGGCGCCGTGGCGAGGACCATCGCCACGGGCGCCGAGCACCTGGCTAAGGGGATACTGTGGTGCGGGGAGGTGACCGTGGAGAGGCTCCGTTGGGGGAATGAGGTCCTCAAGAAGAGGATGCAGCCCGGCGACGCCAACGCCGAGGTCAGCCCTGAGATGCTCAGGCGAATCAAAAGGTATTGGCTGTCTCTTGTTTTCTTTTTTTTTAATAAATAATATGAAATGTCTTTTTGTCCTAGTTACTATGCAACAAATTTTGTTAAGGATGCAATGCAATCTAGTAATGTTTGCTTCGTACTCGTACAGCATTTGGGTATGGTGTATTCTTTCTAGTTGTGCGGCACCTTGATTCCTTATTTTTGTCATCTAGATTAGAAGAGGCTCCCCGATTCCTAAAACATTTTTGTAGTGATGACCAATGAAATTGACATAGGAGTATGCATTTTGGGATGGACCGATGTCCATAAATATATGCTGATGTTATAACTCATAATGAGACTATTCATTGAAGCATTGTTTTCTGAACTTGTGATTGCTTGGCTGAGTAGTATATGTTGGCGTTAAGACATTGTTCATAAGTCTATGCTAGCATGATACAGTCTTCATAGTGTATGTCTAGTATAGCGTTTGAACTTACTTTTTTATGAACATTTCTGATGGTATAACCTTTTTTCATGAACATTTCTTTTGCCAAGACCATTGCTTTGTTTCTGCCTCTGGATGTTGAATTTATGTATGGTTTGGCTGAGTGTATTATCTCATTTCTGGATATATTGTCTTTACCATTTGTTTAATGAGTACACATGTTTTTTTTATTATTTAAACAATTTTGGACATAGATAATTTTTGCATATTCTGTGGGAATTACCTTTCTGAGATATATGGTTTCAGACATTTATTCGAGTTGCTTAAGAACATTGATGCTTACAATTGCTGGCAGGGCTAAGAGGGTGAGCCAAATATCTGAGAAAGTGGCAACTGGAATTTTGTCTGGAGTTGTGAAGGTTACTGGTTATTTCACAAGCTCGCTGGCGAACTCAAAAGCTGGCAAGAAGTTCTTCAACCTGTTGCCTGGAGAGATTGTCCTTGCTTCACTTGATGGATTTGGTACGTGTTGTTATTAACATCTTTATGGTATAGGATCATGTGCTTTGTGTCATTATTGATTTTATCTAGTGGCATGTTATAGATTAACTCAAATGTGTCCACCTTGCATAAGTCAACAAATATTTGTTGTTTGAGTCTATGCATTGCCTACTATGCCTAGATCGCATTTATCTCATATGTGCACCGAGATCCTTGTTTTCCACTGATCTCTGTTGATGTCTGTGTATGTTCTACTAGTTTCTGTGTAAATAGAGATGCCTTGGGTGCCCTTTATAGTGTCCTCAATAGGTCTGAATGTTTTTCTAGTGAAGATGACTTTTGTAGTTTGACTTCTGAGAAAACTCAATTTCAGTACTCAGGTGCAGGTGGTAGTTCTTGTTTTCGTTATTTTCCACCATTTCTTTCCCACATGACACAGAGTAGCCAAATGCTTTAGTGCTGCAAAGTAATGGGGAACCATTGCCGCTGAAGTGCTGATTCATTTTGGTGATACTGGTGAGCTGGTGTTAGAAGGGCGGGCCTGGTGCAAGCGGTAGAGTCTTACCGCCTGTGATCGGAAGGTCCCGGGTTCGAGTCGCGGTCTCCTCGCATTGCACAGGCGAGGGTAAGGCTTGCCACTAACACCCTTCCCCAGACCCCGCACAGAGCGGGAGCTCTCAGCAATGGGTACGCCCTTTGGTGAGTTGGTGTTAGTTTCAGTACAGCCACTTACTGGTGATGATCTATGGTCACGTCGTTAAAGATTTCTAAACATTAGTAACTTTCACCTCATGCTCTGTAGATGGAACTCGGCTACTTTTCACCCTGAATGCTTTGTGATAGAATGGCCGATAAGTTCAAATTCAGGAAGATTGTTGGTTCCACCTGATCTTTGTGTCCCATGGATGAACAAATTAATTAGGTTGTAAGCTTCCAGTACAAAAGTGTCTGCTAGATATGTAGCCCTTATTTGATATGCTTTATTAATACTATTAGGATTTTTCATTGGTGTTGTCATTGTTGTTATCCATTTTCCAACTAGCCTGTGTGGGCCAAGCTTTTTCAACATTTGCTGACATCCCTTGTCAAAAAAAAAACATTTGCTGACATCTCTTCTGTTATCGTCAAACAGGAAAGATTTGCGACGCCGTGGAGGTGGCTGGAAAGAATGTTTTGTCCACATCATCAACTGTGACGACTGGGCTAGTATCTCACAAGTATGTGTGTGTGACATTCTCGATTCTCCACCGAAGAAGATCCCATATCCTGCATCATACTTCTCATCTTTTTTTTTTCTTTTTTGCGAATCGAGTGTTAGTTCGTCTTGATGGACGCGAGTAGACTAACATCCCTTGCACTGAATTTGTTGTCTTGCAGGTATGGAGACAAAGCTGCCGCCGCAACAAACGAAGGGCTGGACGCCGCCGGCCACGCCATCGGGACGGCGTGGGCCGTGTTCAAGATCCGGCAGGCCTTGAACCCCAAGAGCCTCCTAAAACCCACAACGCTGGCCACGTCCACCATCAAGGCCAATGTCGCTGAGCTTCGCGCAAAGCACGGCAGCAAGTAGTTCATACCTGCCGTTCCCGTTCGTAACTGCACTGATCCCGAGAACGAAGGATGTGCACCAGCACCAAGGGGAGAGAGATGTTTCCAGTCCAGTACCAGCGAGTCTTTGAGCCTCATCTCGTTCTGTCATGCTGCTGCTGGAAGCAGTGCATCCATGTCACGAGTCGCAGCGTTCGCTTGTAAATTTGTGTGCGCTGAAAGCCAGAAACTGAAAGCTTACTGCTCTAATGATGGTGCCCTTCTCATGCCGATGTTTCTAAAGCTTTTATTACTGCTGTCTTGCCCTCGAGCTTTATCATTTTTCGCCGCCTCACATCTTTGGCTCCTAAATGATGGCTAAAACCTACTTTTAGCCCTTGAACTATCACGATTGTCCGTTTTTGGCCTCTGTACTTCAACACTCGACAGCATCGGTGCTTCCAACTGTTCCAACCATGGCATTTTTGGCCATATCATTCAACTGTTTTGAAGCCGGTTCACCACGTCAACATAGGTCTAAATACAATGTGAAGGGCTCTCTTTGGAACGCAGAATTTTTACATAATTTGTACAGGATTTTTATATGAATCAAGTTAATTTTACTAAAAATGTAGAAACAGATAATCTTCTCTATTTCTTTAAGGATGCGGGAGTGGGAACTGATGCTTCTTTTAGAAAATCTCTTCAAAATCTATAGGTATAGAAAGCGATATAGGAGATCTGCTGCAACATCTTTATATCCTAAAATACTAGTTTTTAAGATAGCAGATTGGATAAGATATCTGACGAAAATGCTCTAAGGGAATGTTCACTGTTTAGGTATCAACTCGCAAGTCGTATGCCAAAGTTTTGTATCCATTAATTTCTGCCACCAAAGACTTATTTTTATAGCTTTATAGTAACTCGATAAGAAACATTCCAAAAATCGTATAAAACACCACTTGCTTTCCTAAGGTCCAGTACTGCTTTACCGTGTTTGTTCAACGAGAGTTCAAGGGTAATTACAACATTTCAAAATTCAAAAATCACGATGAGTCGATGACTGCGCGTAGACGGTGAAAGTGAAACAACGACGACCAGCCCAGCCGCGTCTGCTGCCCCACGGTCCACTCCACCATCTCCACCACCACCCATTCGGTTGGGCCCCAGGCCCCGTGGGTGGTAGGCGGTTCGGGATTCCGCCCTACGCGCCCAACACGTCCCCGTCCAGATTCATCCACCCCTCTTCCCCTTCGTCTCCGTCCGCTCCACCCCTTTTCCCCTTCTCGTCGTTGCAACCGCCGCCCATCCGGGGCTTGGATTGGCCTCCCCCCGCTGCTGCTGGTAGGTAAGGACTAAGGAACCCCTTCCTCTCTTCGCTCCGGCGGATTTGATTTTGCTCGTTCCGTTTGTCTCTAGTAGAATCTGTTCCCCCGCTGCCTTGAATCCGTTTGTCTCCGGAGCAGCGACGGAGTACTAATACCAACACAATTTTCCGATGGTTTGTCATGTTCTCAGGTGGGTGGATGTGTCCTTGACTGCCCGGCGTCCGACCGCCCGCCCGCACACCGGCGCGCCCGCAGCAGCAATGGACGACGGGGACCTGGATTTCTCCAACCCGGACACGTACCTGTGCCCGGCGCTCGGCACCGACCCGCCCAGCAGCTGCTCCATGGACAGCTACTTCGACGAGATCCTCAAGGACCACGCCTGCACGCACACCCACACCTGCAACCCGCCGGTGCACGACCTCTCGCACACCCACACCTGCGTCCACGTCCACACCAAGATCGTCGCCGCCTCGCCCGGCGACGGCGCCGAGACCGCCGAGTCGCCGTCTGAGAACAACAACACCACCGGCAACAGCAACGCCGCCTCCAAGAAGCGCCCCTCGGGGAACCGCGCCGCCGTCAGGAAGTACCGTGAGAAGAAGAAGGCCCACACCACGTCGCTGGAGGAGGAGGTGGTCCACCTCCGGGCGCTCAACCAGCAGCTCATGAAGAAGCTCCAGAGCCACGCCGCGCTCGAGGCCGAGGTGGCCAGGCTTCGCTGCCTGCTCGTCGACATCAGGGGTAGGATCGAGGGGGAGATTGGCGCGTTTCCCTATCAGAGGCCGGCGGCGGAGGTCAAGAACGTCGACCTCGTGTCTAGTGTTGACCAGGGAAGCTTCCTCGGTGGTGCTGCGGTCCATGTTACCAACGCCTGCGATTTCAGATGCAACGATCAGATGTATTGCAACCCTGGGATGCAGGGCGCTATCAGTAGTCAGGTGTTGGGACAAGGCGCCTGTGATGTTGCGAGTATCCAATGCATTGGAAGCATCAAGTCTGGATCCACTAAGCCAGTATCTGCTGTCTGCTTTCCAAATGTTGAAAAGAAGTGATGGTATGTAACTTGTCTTTCCTTGTTATACTTTTAAAAACTCCTGTCGATCTGCTACATAGATTAATTTCAATTATCATTTTGTTAGCAATCCGTAAATGCATCTAAACTCATGATTGTATTTTTTTTCCACGACGGTCGAAACCGAATTTCATTACGGCATTACGCACGTAACTCGTGATTGTATTGCTTAGTAGCCTTTTGTTATCTCTAGTCTTAGCTGAAAAAGAGTATAACTCGACTCTTGCCACCGAGCCATTGTTTTGTGGTTTCATTGATTTGCTGAAGTCTGGCTGAATGCAATTTTGAGTGAATTGACATCTTATTGTGAATGAAGATCAGATTTTCTTTTGTTCCATCTTGTCAATCCAGAGCTAGAGTTGTAATGGTCTATATTTCAGCTGGATGTCTTGTACCCCTTTAAAGGCATTGCTAGTCTTGTTGACACACCAGAAACTAAGATGCTCCATATGGATCAACAGGCTTGTAGTGGTCAATTTCTCAGCTGGATGTCTTTAAGGTGTCAGAAAATTCTTTTAACCTTCATAAGTCCCTTTACCTTTATGTTGTCCTTTGCACTCAGTTCAGTAATTGTCTCAAAGTGCCAGAACTAGCCAAATAATTCAACCAAGTACCAAGAACAAATGGAAATATTATATTTTCGTGCTGTCTTTTTTTTTCCTTGCGCATGTTGAGGATGGGCGGGTGGTTGGGTTCAGAGTGGGTATTGTGATAATGTTCTCTGTCTTCTTTTCGTTATAAGAAATAGCAGATTGCCTCTGTCAAAATGGCGATGGGCAGTACAATACTTTCTATGGTTTTGCACGGATTATCTATCATAAATAGGGTATTAGAACCACCACCATGTTTTTCTTTTATGTTAGTTTTCAATAGTTTGTTGTGGTGAATTGAGAGATAATAAACAACATTGAACAATCAAGGGATTCCATCAATATCTGACTATCTGTACTTGCTGGGGCTTATAGATTCAGCATTTGTGGGTTGCTCATTTCGTCATATTTCATCTTGCTAGATATGCTTCCTGCTAAAATTCTAATAGCCTTTTCCTAGGCATCCCAACTGCTACCTGCGAGCCATGATATGCTTGAATCATGTTGGCAACAATGTTTTCAGGTCATTTGGTCGCCATGGGACCGACCAGGAGACTAATCTCGATTAGTCGTCGACCAAGCCGATTAGTCGGCCCTGATCGTCCATCTAGCCGTCCATGTATATCAGGATATATATATATATATATAAATTATTTCCTACTCCCAGGGAGTAGTTACTCCCATGTGTATATCTCTAGATTTAGGGCGTATATGGCCCGACGAAGTGTATGTAGATGGAGTATATCATCATACTAGACCATCTAGGGTACTATGTATGACAAGTATGTATGTATACTTAGAGTATATGGTTATACTTATTTTATATGCTACTATCATAGTATTATATAATATATTAAAAAATATGTGCTCTTTTGATTTTTTTTTCACATAGTAAAGATCTGGAGTATCTTAATATTAGTATGTCAACATACTCAAACTGATAAATAAGTATGTACACATACGCAACGTGATTTATTGATTATGGGAGTAACTACTCCCGGGAGTATATAAAATGCACCCTATATATATATATATATATATATATATATATATATATAGTATACACAATAAAGCAAGCATCAAGACTGCATTAGTGTTTAGCTAGTGACACTAATGCAGTCTTGATCTTGACGCACCTGAACAGCAACACTGCTGCAGTAGCAAAATAACTAACATTTAGCAGACCATAGCAGCCACACAGCCAGCATATTACATAACCAAATTAGTCCAGTACAGATAAGCTAAAGTGTTCAACACAAAGTCACAAACATTGACATTCAATAGTCCCACATGTCCGCCCAGTTAAACAGGCCTAAAAACAGAGTAACCAAACTGGTCGTCCATGTCCTAGTCGGACGACTAATCATGATTAGTCGTCGACTAATCGGACGACCAGCTTTCTGGTCGAGCTAATCGAGTCGGTCCTCCTAATGGAATACCAGGGACCGACCAGGATGACTAATCGCGATTAATCGGACGACCTGAAAACATTGGTTGCCAGCAAAGGAAATCAGGACACTACATTTTGCACGCTAAAAGAAATAGCTGGGGCCTCTATGCAGGGATCCTGATTCAAGGTCTCATGGTACCGCACAACAGTTATGCATGCATTAACACCTCCAAATTTTCTCTAATCATGACTAAAGATGAGATTCCTGGCAATTCCAATTTTGTCAAATCCATAGCTAGAGTTTTATTTTCAACTGGATGCTTTCTACATTTTCAGACCTCCTAAGTCATCTGTGGCTGGTTGAAAAAATAATATTACCCATTTTATCATTATCTTTTTTACACATTTCATTAGTTTCAAGCACCAAAACTATTTGAAACATGGAAACGACTTAACCTGGGTTTCAGCCTGTTAGTATTCAAGGCTCAAGCCATGGTACATCTGTTTTAACATAACAGAGTAGCTCTTGTTTTCGACGTAGTCCTGTATGTAGCCGCTGCCTGTAGCTGAGCAAAAGCAGGAGGGAACATTTTGTCATTTTTCGTACCTGCTGCCAACGCCTGCAGTGCGCCACGCCCACACCACCGCTGATGCTTTGAAAGATATTATATGGCTTAAGTTTATGGGTTAGATTTACAGTCAGGGAGAGCCAACCGACTTGTCTTAGTCGTGATATAGTGGGTACTCAGGTGACTACATTCGACTTTACGACTTAAAAACTGCTTAGTTCTTTAGGAGAGTGATACTTTTTAAGATTGTGCTTGGCCAACTTATCAAACACAGGGCTTCTGAATATAGGTTTCCATATTTTTGTTCTCGGTGCTACTTTCCTTGTCAATCTAGCTTTGACCTGTGACCGAGCCATTTTATTGGTGAACTATGTTACCATAAAATAGTAAATTAGGACACTACATTGTGCATGTTTCAAGAAAAAAAGAGAGACAATGTTGTGCACTTGAGAAAATAATAATTAGGACATTATGCCATGGTATCATATAGCAGTACTATAGACATCAATAACCTCCAAATTTTGATACTTCTGAAGAGTATTTTGTTTCACAGTGATTTCGTATTAGCATAAGTAGCTATTGGAGATTGTAATACTTGGGTTGGTGGCTGGCCTTTTTTTGGGGAAAACTTGTGATATCTCCCTGTAAACTGTGTGTTCTCAGTTTTGAAGGCAGTTCTTTAGGTTGTACCATTTGTGTATCTTGCTGTGCACCAGTTTTCCTGCTTTATTTTGTTTATTAAGCTGTTTTTGTTATGAATTTTAATACAATCTTTTTTGTGGTATGTCCATTTGATTTTTCAATTACTGGGCTGTTGTAAAATTGTTGGTAGAATTTGTTACTGAATGTAGCTATTGCTCATATCTTACAATGGAACTTATTCAAGAAAAAAACAGAAGATGATGTCTTATTCTTCGAATAGTTCTAAGTCGTATCCATCTGATAGTCAATAGCACCCCCCCTTTTTTGCATGATTTACAGCAAATAAACCTGATAAAAAATGGTGGCATTTTATTATTTGCCACCTTTCCCGCTGCTAGGAACTTTTCATGTTCTAAACTCACAAGTAACACCTGTTCTATTACTCTTTTTTCAGGACTCCCGACAGTGTTTATGGTCTCTCCTTTTCAGAGACTGCTGGGGCTTCCCGTTCTGCCTCAAAGGAACGCAAACTGCTAGCTCTTCTATGTAGGACCGCACTGGTTCAAACTGCTATGTGTGTGAGTTCATCGCCCATGATGCTTCTATGGTGCCTGAGGCGATTCAAGTTTGTTAGCTCTAGAGCTGACAGGACATCCTTGTTTATTTTCCTTAGTTCCCAGATGCTCTCTGATCAAGTGCAGAACTGGACTGGGTCTGAAGGAGTCAGAACATGAACTGGTTAAAATTTGGCATATGTGGTTTAAGACAGCTCAGATTTTTGTAGAGATCTCAAGTTTAATGTGAACCCTGTTGCCTATGTAGATGCATCGTTCGTGAAATCCCCTGTGTGGGTGCCTTGTGTGGGTGCCATGTCTCTGCTGCTATGTGCGTGATCCGAGGTGTTTTACTATTTCATTTGCAAGTAAATAATTTGTTGCATTGATTGGAATTTGCATGGGAAGTTTAATAACTCTAGCCCTGACAATTCTGATGTATCAGCAATTCTATCTCTTACCCTGTGATGCTGTTACCGACAAGTCACTACAGTTATGGGGCAGTGGCGCAGGGCGTTAACTCTTTTGTTTGGGGGTGTCTGAAAACTTCTGCTCGGATTCTGAATGTTCATATATTTGATAGTTCTGGGTTGAATGGTTTCAGCCTAAGCACGATAATGTGTACACACCCAGCATGTTCATCGAGGACATATTTTATTGCTGACATGTGAAAGTTCAGATGGAGGAGACAAGTGAGTGTTGTACAGGTAGCAAGTAGCAAGCACATCCATGAATCAGAGGGATGTGGCAGCCAGATTATCAAGAGTACTCATTGCTGATCACTATATGATGCAGACAAAAAAAGAAAGAACAAAGTAGCCTGCGTCAGGGGGCGGGTGTCCATTAGGAGACGGAGCAGCAGCAGCCGATATAATCACCTCCGTGAAGTCAGCTAAGCTCCAGAAGCGTCTGCTGCAGCGCGGCAACTCTCCCCATAAGAAAGACTCTATCTTCAGCGTCAGGTATCACAGATGTGGTAATGCGTTCGGTAACAGCAGCAGTTGCTTCGTCGAGTAAACCCACAATCCTCCAGAAATCTTCAGGTGCTCAATGATTGGCATTAACCCGTGCATATTGTTTGAGCTGTATAAACACCTGCTGCAGCTCGCCAACTCTCTTTATAAGCAAGAGTCTATCTTGAACATCAGGTAGCACGGATGGGATATTGTGAGCCCTAATAGCAGCAGTTTCTTTACTCAACCTGCGCACCATCATCAAGAGAGGGTTTGTGTCTT